ACCACCCTCTCCTCCCGACCCAATCAGTGGCGGCGGAGGAATTCCCCACTCTACTGTGCCGCATAGCTGTGGGGGAAGGGATTGCTCCTCTCTGCAACTGATTGGGCCATTAAGAGGGGGTGGCAATCAGAGTTTTGAGTGGGTTTGTCCAAAATGAACTGGGTTTTCGCCAAGTCTAGCCTCATTCACATTTAAAACTACAAGAAGGTGTAACATTTACATTTGCTTTAGATTTTTTTTTCATTCAGCTTTTAGGATGAACAGAAAACAATCTAACAGATTCCTAACAACTGCTGAGGCTATTGTATTTTGGCAGTCAGCTCTGCCGACTGTCAAAATGCCTGGGTAATGGTGAAATGAGCCAGGCTAGGACTTGCTTGCCAGTTACGGATGTGGAATTGTAATGGGATTAGGATTGGACAGTAGATGGGAAGAGGTGGTGAATAGAAGTGTAAGGAGGAAGAGGAATTGCTACTGGAGGCAGATTCTCCCATTGGAAAAACTCAACTCTCACTTTGGCAGCAGCGTGTGCCCCTCCATCAAACCTGGGGATGAACAGCGTCGTTCCCCCTTCAGCCCCAGTGGCAGAACCTCTAGCTCTAATAGCCACCATCTGGACTTGGGTGGAGCACATTTTACATATAGCGGTTTATTCAATCCTGGGTGGAGCAATATATATTTATTAGGGATGTCCCGATGCCACTTTTTCAGGCCCAAGTACAAGTACATCAAGCGCAAGCTTCGGCGCTAGGCTTCGGGCTTCGGAATGGACTGCGCTGGTGGGAACTGTGGCCAGAAATAGCATAGGGATACATTGGGATGCATTTTGGGTCCAGAAACAGTCTGGTCTGGAGGTAATCTGGATGTGGTGTGAATGGATCCTGATGCCTCGCTCACACCAGATGCAGTGCGTTTCGGCCCTATTCTAGCCAGAACGCACTGCCTCGCAATGCAAACGGCTTACTTTCTTGTGGGGCAGGAAGGGGGTCCATGTAAGTGAATGGCCCCGTAGCCAGACCCTCCGGCCACAATGTGATCGGCCGCATGGGATCACAAGGCACATTATGCCTGCGGTCCGGTGCAAACAAAATGCTGCAAGCACTATTTTGTTCGCACCGGACCAGACCGCAGGCAGTGCGTTCTGGTTAGAATCGGGCCGGAACGCATTGATCTAGTGTGAACGAGGCCTTAGCATTTCTTTGATAATAGAAACGTTTAATGGTTGTCTCAGGAGCTTACACTGGAATTAATTCAGAGCTAAGGCAATGGTGACATCTTGTGGCTGATAGTAAAGTATATATTGCAAACTAAAATTTACTCATTTATGACACCTAGTGGTTGTTTTTGTATCTGCAGCCAGCAATACACAATTTTTGATTTAAAATGAATTCCAAAGTCTCCATGAGTCGCAGAAATATGAAACTTGCCTGAAGTTTAGCTTTTGCATTGGGAAAGGAAAATAACCGTTTTCTTGACACTAGTGTGGTCACATACACTTTGGACTCAACACGGGAGGTGAACGGTGAAGTATTTTAATCATTAGGGCTCATTCATATAAGTATGCATGCCCCTAAAAAGACGCGATCCTGGAAGTAACAGGTGCTGCGTGTAATTGTGTGCTGCAGCCTGTGTTTCCCTATGAGAAAACACAGCTGCATGCAACTACACATAGCCACACGCAGACCCATATCTGCACATACATGTAGGTCTGGGTGCCTGCACTTGGGCGCAGACAGTGTGCGTCTAAGTCGGGCACCCGGATCCACGCACATGTGCAGGTATGGGTGTGCATGTGACTGCATGTAATTGCGTGCAGCCACGTCCCCCCATATTGAAGATGTCCCTTCCGGGATCGGGTCTTTTTCCGGGAGTGCACACTGTACGGACGTGCACACGCATCTGAATGAGCCCTTAGACAATTTGTTAATTTGTTTAGAACTGAATATCCAAACTCTACTGCGCACTATGTGGAATGGGTTGCTGCTTTGTAGAAGACTCTGGAGATTGTAACACACTAGCCTGTTTAAACAAGGATGCCACAGTGTCATATCTCTCTCTACTGATGACAACAGTATATGGAGAGAACTAGCTTTTTGGGCCATAGTTTCCTTCCCAGTGTGCACCTTTTCCTCCTGACATGTTCTGGAAAAAATAATAAAACAGATCTTTTTTTTCTTTTAATCATGTGACTTTTTAATGGATAATAATAAAGAGGTGTTATAAAGTGTTAATGCTTTTTTTTTGTGTGTTGTGTTTTTCTTTTTCTGGTTCACTCACCCCATTAAGGTGGCCATACACTTTACAACCATCGCAAGACCTTAGTCTTGCGATGGTTGTAAAGTACTTAAAAAAACGTACGATCTGCCCATCTTGGACAGGCAGATCGTACTTGTGATCACTGCAAGCCCGTCCCCCTGGGGGGCGGGCTTCTGATTACCGCAATGCTGAACGGGCAGTGTGCGCGTGCGCTCACCGGCCCATTCGGCATTTGTCTCCCGAGCATCATTCTAAGGAGCATGCTAGAAAACCAGCCGAAAATCGTACGATTTTCGGCTGGTTTTCTAGCATGCTCCTTAGACAAAAGAAGTGCGACCGTACGAGAATCATGCAGTGTATGGGCACCTTTAGTTATGAATGGAAAAAATCAGTTTGCTCCGGGAAGATTTGAAAATAACAGAGAAGCTGATTGGCTGCAGTACAAATCTGCTCCAGATTTTGCCTGCTCCAGTTTTGATAAATTCCCCCCACTGTATAGACGATGATTTTTTACAGGACCTTAGACCGCTGCAGAGGACGGGGCTAATAAGACCCCTATGTTATAGCACATATACTGTGACAGGTCCTCTTTATGGAGAAGCTGATGAAGCAGAGATCTGCCACTTCTCCAGCTACAGCAGAAGCCAGACTGAAAGTGGAAGTGATGTAATACACATCACTCCCACATTCAGTGATCAGAGGGGAGTTCAGCCACTGGAATGTGCTGATCCCCTTCGATCCAGCCACAGAGTCCAGCTGTGTCACTCCTCGGCCCGCAGAGGACAGCAGAGCCTGGGAGAGCCGGCAGCAGCAATGGAGGGAGTGGGGTGCACACAGGCCCGGATTCCCCACAAGGCCACCGAGGCCCGGCAGGGCGCAGATGGGCAGCAGCGTCTGTGGAATCCCCTGACGCCCGGAACATGCAGTTCTGGGCGGCGGGGCGGTAAGTTACTTTCTACATTTAGCCCTGCTTTGGGAAAGCAGAGCTAAATGTAGCGTGAGGAAGCCGGCACTTGTTCTCCCCCCCCCCGCCCCTTGCACT